CTGCTACATCTACTACGAAATCAAACGTCAATTGTCGACTCCACAATGAACGTGATCAGGAAGGATAAGTCATCCATGGACAACCGCCTAAAGGTATTGGAACAACAAGTGGCAACCATCAGCCGAGAAAGAGGAACATATCATGGCGATCATCTAATTCAGTCATACCTAGGGCTCACAGCACAACTAACTCTGCTGACAACGAGTCTTCAACGTATGCAGTCTGACATATCTGATGTATTAATCGGCATTCACCATCGGACAATAAGCCCAACGCTAGTATCTCCTGAGCAATTAAGAGAGCAACTAGACCAAATCCGGGATCACTTGCCAGCTGATCAAATGTTGCCTGTCACAACACAAAATGTGATACAATTATACAGGCTAATGCGCGCTGAAGGAACACTGACTACCACACACGTCATTTTCAAGGTGACACTACCGTTAGTTTCAACATTTCAGCTCGAAGTTTTCAGTATCATGCCGATTCCAGTCTGGGACTCAACAAGTTGGAGCTTGTTCAATCTCAAAACAACCATAATCACTGTAAACACTCACCGAGATCAATTCATGGGATTTACTCCAGAAGAATTTCGACGCTGCTTTAAACTACTCAACGCAGAATACATCTGCTTTGATCATCAAACAGTCTTCAATGTCGACAATCGCTGTGAGTTTCAGCTGTTTAACAATAAAACAGCACCTTTATGTGAAGTGACCCACACGAAGGCGGACATGGTGTGGTCCAAAACTCAGCAAGCAAATAAATGGATTTTTGCAACACACTCTACAATGAGACTTCAGGCAGTTTGCAACGGGTCTCCATCAACCATACAACTAGAAGGAACTGGCTTGCTCTCACTGTCACCTGGATGCACTGCTCGCAATACAGAAATAAGCATCAGTACCTTCAGCACAACAATCAGTGAAGTCAAATCAACCTACACTCGATTTGGGGACATACGCTTACCAACGACACCCCCTTCGCCAGCAACTGCACAATTGGAGAACCAGACATCAGACTATCTTCAAGAATTGGAAGATTTACGCCTGCAATTAGTGGCAATCAATCAACAAAGCCTGCCACACCATCTCAACACAGTGCAGCATCATCAAATCGCTACTTATGCTGCCCTAGCAATATCAATGCTATTGATTATTGCGTTCATTCTCCGGAAGAAGTATCAATCATGGAACCCAAGGCCGTCAACAATCAACCAAGCAGAGCCACGCGGATCATCACCGCCGATCCCCATTCCACGCCGCTTTTCAGTCGACTGGGCGATGGTTGAACACCAGTTCAACGGCCGGGAGAATGTTCAGTCGCATATTTATGCAGTAATTAATATTACATAATATACACTTATCGAATAAGTCAGGTCGACCCATGTAACGGGAGACATAATAACAAACGACAAGGCATTGTAGCTGAGTCAAAAATAACCGCTTCTGCAGCAATTTCTGCCAACGATGCGATCGCTCGTCAGAGGGCAAAAACACTGGTGCAATTGCTGACTATCACAATTGCCCAATAACACAATATCATATTAAATCCAAATTAATTCAATATTAATTCCAATTCCCTTTTACCATATTCTTACTAGACTCAGCACTTTCTGTACCTTTTGTTACCTATAAATAGAAATTAAGTTTGTTGAATAAAATCAGTATCAGAAACAGTACCATCACTGCCTGTTCACTCATTCTCTACAACTGCAATCAACAGAGGCTGTCGCCGTGTCTTCAGACCCTCATTTGCTCGACGTAGGAATCCCTCTCCGCAGTCCAACTGGTTCAAGTTCTAGTTGCGACGACAAATTTGTAGACGGTTTATGTACCGTATGCATACCAAAACACACACACAATCACACATTAACAAGGACATAGTCGGATTGGGTGATTCTCCTTGGAACAGAGATCACACGTGCTCTTGCTCGGATTCACGTGGCTTTGGAACGAGTGCGCTGTCCTTGGAACAGGCCTGCCTTGGGAACGGAACGGATTGGACTGGCTTTGGGAGGATGGCGGATTCTGATTGCCTTTGCCTGGTGCCGGATTCGGAGCGCCTTGGGAAGTGGAGGGGTCGTTCTCGATAGCCTCTAGCGTTAGGTATCGCTGAGTCAGGAAAGAGTCGATTTCCTTCCAGGGCGGCACCTCCTTTTTGTCCGTTACGGACGCTTCCCATAACGCCCGGCTTAACTTTGGCAATTTGGAAGCGCAGATGGTCACTAGGAGACTATCCCAATTGTCGGTACAGACGTTGGAGATAGCTAGTGCATTTAAGACCCCCTGCATAGTACTTTGTAGATCCTTCAAAGCCCGACTGCACTCGGAAGTTACGCGGGGCAAGAAGAGGAGGATGTTTATCTGGTTGGTAACCAGAAGCCGATTATTTTCATATCGGCTGCGGAGAGCCGACCATGCGGACTCGAAACCGTCATTAGTGAGGGGGGATTTCTCTACGATGGCCTTCGGATCGCCCCGGGTCTTCTCGGTGAGGTAATACAGCCTCTCTACCGGAGACAATCTAGGATTGTTGATCACGACCGCAGTGAACAGATCCCGGAATGTGGGCCAGCGGACGTAGTCCCCTGTGAATGCCTCAATATTGACGGGAGGCAGTCGACAGCCGCCCTGTTGGACTGGCTGTGAAGGAGGAAGAACTGTGGATGTGGCCAGTTGGGCATTGAGGTCACTGAGGCACTGCTCAAATACCCCATAGCATTCACCGTATGTGTCACGGATGTCCGCTTGGATTTCTGGCTCCTCGTCAGTCATCACCGCGGAGCAGGCCTTATATTCGGCCTCGACGTCCGTCCACATGCTGAGGATTTGGCCTCGACGGACCTCGGACAAAGAGGCGGATGGGGCGGCGGTGATGCGCTCTGCCAGGTGCGACAGTCGGCCAATAGCGGCAGCCAATTTGGTCCGAGCGACTGAGGTGGCGGATTGAGCCATTGTGATGCAGTGGCGGGAGCTGACGGGGCTGCTAACGAAGGAGCCCTTCGGATCTTGTTTGGTCACAGCTGGAACCTTAAGAGTGACAGGAGACGGGAACAGAACCGATTTGGTCCTTGCCGCAGGGCTGCTACTGGCTGCTCTCGGAGTGAGGGGTGCCTTGATTCTCTGAGTAGGCGTAGTTCCGGAGGCGGACGAGGTGCGTAGCCGGTTGGAAGAGGTCGCAGGCAGAAGCTGGTTGCCGTCCTTGTGACCTGTTGGCATATTCCGAACTCACACACGCACAGAAAATCGGATTTGGAAGTCCTGGAGGGGACAGAAGACTGATCTGAGTGGAATTCCAACAGAAAGACGCCAGGAAACAAATATAACCCACTTATGGAAGGCTGTCAGGAAAAAGGCCTCGAGCTTGTTGGAAAACAATAGTCGGGTCGACTCGGATTGTTTGAGATCACGGTGAAGTGAAATTTCTCAAACAATGAGTGACTTATATTGCGCTGAGCCGAGGGGAGGACCGGTTGCACTGATTTTGGCAATATTTTGCAAATATTGTTAGTGCGGGCTCCTCCGTTTACCTCTTTGACGCAGTCGTGATCAGAACTGGGTTATTTGCGGATGGACGGCGGACGGAATGGCATTTATATCCTCGATAGGTGATTGGAATGGGCGATAGTTTGCTCTTGATGTCGGTTTGGATCGACAAAGTGCAGATAAACCTAGTCGCCGTAAGCGTTACCGGAAGCTACAGTCAAGAATATGACTGCGGAGTGGGCGCTGGAGAACTATCGGGAGAAATACCGAAGGAAAACAGAAAATATCGGAAAAAGGAGGACGAAACGGTTTAAATAAGAAATCGTGGATCGTTTAATTTATTGCTTGTAGTGTCGGTGTGTTTGTTTGGAAATTGTATTTTTATTTTTTATTAATTTATTTTCGGTCGAACGCAAGACTCGGTTACGATACCGATATTTTTGGATTGCGCCACCTCTGATGCACGGAACAAAAAAAACAACAACAAAGGACCGAAACACCAATTTGCCAATTGGCAGTGGAAATTGCCAAATAATTACTATAAGTGCGCCGTGCCTTGGTCGCGAGTAATTTATTTGGAAAGTGGAGGATGTTGGAGTTGGGATAGCGATCGTGAAAAGTGGCTAGAGTGCACGAATTGTACGGAATCGCGAATTTTATATTAAAATTGGCACTTGCGCGGAGTATGTATGTAGTGTATGGAGCGCGGTATTTTTCTACGGGGAGTGGTATTTTTATGGTATGGAATTATGTATGTTAAATAGTTGGGAGCCAACTATGCAAGTAAATGTAATAAATAAATAAATAAAATAAATAATAAATTTAATTAAGAAAACACAGGTAGCTGGATGGATACTTTTATTGCTGCTGTAATGTGTATATAGGTTGGTATGTGTGTGTGTTCACTTGCACTTGGAGTGTGCCAGTGTATATTGTATTCGGGTAGGGCGCGGATGGAATGCTCGTGGAGACCTGTATATTAATGTAGGTGTGTGGGAATTCACTTGCACTTGGATCGTGCCAATGTATATATTATTGGGGTAGGCCGCGAATGGAACGCACTGAAGAAATATTAGTGTATGTGTGTGTGAATTCACTTGCACTTGGAGCGTGCCAAGGTATATTTTATTGGGGTGGGTCGTGCTGAAATGCACCTGTTGAGACACGGATGTAGATGTGTGTGTATGTACGCAAGCCGCTCTTATGGGCTGGAATGTGTGTACATACCCTGTAGTACTGGGCACTAGTTCGGTGGTGGTGATATGACCCGTCCCTAACAGACCACCACTACCCACTGGACACACCCTAAGCAATGCTATTCTTCATTTCCATTTTTACCCACAATGTCCTAGGGCATGGGGACCAGCGACACCACATCGTTTACCCCCGAACTAGTGAAATGGGTACTCTTCTGGTGGTTGACGATTTGGGTACCCATACAATGGGTAGTGAAATGGGTACCCATCTGGTAGGTAGTGAAATGGGTACCCATATAAGGGGTAGTGAAAGGAAACAAGGAACATAATTAGAAAAGCTCGTGCAGTTGACAATTTCACTTATTTTATTTGTCTAATTTCCTTATGAGTTATTATTATCTATTATTTTGTTGTTGTTATTGTTGCTTATATTTTTAAAATGTCGTTTTTTTTGCAGCTGAAGAGCTTTTCTTAGTTGTATTTCCGCTGATCCAGTCTCTGCCTCTACAGTTATAGCATCTATAAATATAAAAATCAAATAAATATTAATGGGCAGGAAATTAGAAAGACAAACAGATATGCATACCAAGCAAAACTCCATAAAAATTCTTAAGATCTTTCAGCGCCGACTTGCCTTGCACTCCATCCACGTTATAGGCTAACACAACGGCATTAGCAAGAATATTTTTAAAATTTTTTAAAATACCGCTTGGCAGGAGAATCGTTTTTATTGCATCAATCTGTGAAAATACAATAAGAATAAACAATAACATTTTGATTTACATCATACTTACGTATAAATCTCTGTTTGAGCTGTTTATATCTTTGTCCATCTGTACCAGTCCCTGGACAGATAGTACCTCAACTTTTTCTGTTTCACTGGACGACACTGTCTCTGCCCTCACTAGTTTTAGTTTGTTAGCATATTTATCGCTAGTTTCCTTCCTAAGTCTACGTAAATGCCGCCTGCTGTACATATTTAATTAAAGTTGCTTTGTCTTACCTTTTTTTAAATAATTGATTTGATAAATGTTCACTTTTTTCACTGGAACTCACAAGCGCGTCTCAACAAATTCAGCCGAAAGAAATAGAACATTCCAGCAATGCAATGTCAAAAACCGAAAACGAAGCAGCGCTCTGCTCCGCAGAAGCAGCGCAGCTTCATTTTTGGCTACTTTCTTACTTCTTTTGTTTCGTTTTTTTTCGTTTCTTTCATCTACTGGTGAGACGTTGCAGTCCCATCGAACTAGTTCGCTGGGTGGTACGCGGTGGGTTGTAAAGTATACAGAGTAAGATTATTTTCTACTCTTTGAGTGGTTCCGCGTTCGCTTACCATAGGGTTACTTCGGTGGGTACCCATGTACGGACCAGAGTAGTAGGTAGTTCGGCAGGGTCAATCGCCACCGCCAGTACTACAGGGTACATATGCGCGGAATGCACTTATTTTGGTAAAAATTTTTTTTTTTTTTTATTTAAGTTGTCCGCAAATCATGGACAGACACAAGTAATCGGAAAAAACTACCGTATCACTGGTAGTTGAAGGTGAATGACGGGAGAACGGCAGGAATCGCCGATAATATGGCGGTGGCGAAGTTGGAAGCACTACGGATAACGGAGATGGCGAGAGTACATATATTTTTTTTTTTTTTATATTCCATTTATTTAATTGATCTACTTTACTTAACTATTTACAATAAGGTGACATGACTATGCGAGCCCGACAAGTGTGGTACGGCCGCGAAGCAATGCTTCACACAAGTGGAGGCGTCGCTTAGCCTTGCTGCTCCCTTCTCTGGCGCTCAACAGCGCGCAGTTCCGTCATAATCGCAGCCGCGAAGTTACTGGTCGCCTCCCAGTTACCTGGGGACCTTAGCATGTACTGCACCAGGTTGTGCTTGGATATCGCCCCACCCAGGGCTACTTCCAGCTGGTGACGCTGCGCCGTAAACCTGCCGCACGCAAATATTGAATGTTCGGCGTCCTCCTCCACGTTGTGTCCGCACCATGAGCACTCTGGTGTGTCCTCATGCCCGAAGCAGTGCAGATACTTGCGAAAGCAGCCGTGGCCGCTGAGTAGCTGAGTTAGGTAGAAATTTACCTGGCCGTGCTTTCTGACAACCCACGCTTCGATGGATGGGATGAGTTGGTGAGTCCAACGCCCCTTGGGGGATCTATCCCAATGTTGTTGCCACTTCCGGAGGCTCTGCTGCTTGCAAGCCTTGCGCACCTGCCGTTTGTCCGCTGCTTCCATGCCTCTGCCATGCGTATCCCGATGAAAGGTGCACCGCTCCTCCGCTAGGAACTCAAATGGTGCTATTCCCGCTATCACGTGAGCAGCATCGTCCGAGACTGTACGGAAGGCACTGACTATTCGAAGTGAAGAGAGTCGGTGAGTGGCTGCCAGGCCTCTGGTGTAGCTCGCTGTCTGTAGGGCCTTTGTCCAGATTGGCGCCGCGTAAAGCATCACCGATCTCGTCACACTCGATAGAAGCTGTCGTCGCCATTGCTTGGGTCCTCGGGTGTTCAGCATTATCCTCGACTGCGCTCTGTTACTGGATGCCGCCTTTGTGTTCAAGTACGCCAGATGCTCTCGAAAACAGAGACGTGTGTCTATCAGGACGCCAAGGTACTTGATAGCCCGCTTTGATGACACTAGGGTGCCTGCCACTGAGATGCTGGCCGTCTCCACTTTCTTCCGGCTGGACACCAGCACTGCCTCGGTCTTGTGAGGTGCGAGTTCAAGCCCGACCAGCTCTAGCCACTGCTGTATAAGCGCAATCGTCTGGTTGCAGGTCGTCTCTACTGCGGCCAAGTCCTTAGCCACTACCAGGACAGCCACGTCGTCCGCAAAGCGCAAAGAGTACATATATAAGACTATATATATGTACTTCGGTCGCGGCACTTTAAACTCGCGGAATTTTCTCTGGAGCACAAACCGCTAAATGGAGGCGGTTTATGGTAAAGAAGGCAAGCGTACTTATCTTGTGATTTCCTGGTGAAGGCGATGCCGTGCTCGAAGGCTGGAGAAGCTTTTGGGGAAGCAGCAAATCCGGCTCGAAGGACCAATGTTTGAGCGAAGAGGCGTCTCAGGGTGTCCACCAGAGAGTCCCAAGATAAAAGGCTTTAGAGTCCGGGTTCTTCAAATATATATTTCGGGGGTTTGTTCTGTATATGTATATGTATATGTCGCGAGCAAAAGCCGTCCGTTTTGCGTTGGGTGGAAAAGCGAATTGAAGCTCGATCGGTTGTACTCCAGCTGCCGAGGGCTGTCGGCGGCGAGAGCGGGAGCGTGATCGTGAGCGTGGGCGGGAGCGGGAGCGCAAGCGTGGTGAATATGCGCTCGAGAGCGCGTCACCGGGGGAAAAAAGCTCCTAAGCGTGAGAGCGAGAGCGAGGGCAACAGCTTGCGTAGCTGGATTGCTAACAGTGGTGTGGCTGGAATGCCCACAGAGCTGTTGCCCCGCCAGCGCCGCCCTCACTCTAAACAGATACCATAAAGAAGTTTATAGATTCCTTGTAAAAATATTAACTTTCCTTTAAATCCTCCGTTATGTTTTCTACTCTCGTGTTCATACTTCTGACGTTTACATTTATTTCATCGGTAGTTCTTTTAAAAATATTTACCGTTGACTCTACCACTGAAGTTTGCCTTTTAATTAAATCTATTTTTTCCCAAAGGCCATCTGGCTTGGTGACAGTTTTCATCTTTTATTAATACAATTTGCCCTTTTTTAATATTCTGCATTCCTATTTTCCATTTATTCCTTTGTTGCAGAGTGTGTAAATAAACTTCCTTCCATTTAATCAAGAATTCTTTTTTCATTTTCTGAATTAATTTCCACCCATCCAGATTCCCAATTCTTTCCTCTGTAATCGTTTCAATGGGGACAAATATTGGCCTTCCAATAATAAAATGACCTGGTGTTAATATATCCAAGTCGTCAATATCGTATACAACGGCCGTGAATTCAGCATAGCTTCAATTTGACATAATAGGGTTGCATTTCCTCCTAGGTTAAATTATTGTCCGCAATCACTCTTTTAAGTGATATTTTACTGATTTTACACCAGCTTCCCAAATACCTCCAAAGTGAGGTACTGCAGGGGGATAAAGTGCCACTCGATCTGTTCTCTTTCTAATATTGGAACTACTTTAATATTTTCCTTAACGGCTTTCTGGTATTCTTCGTCTAATTTGCGCGAAGCTCCCACAAAATTTGTTCCATTATCGGAAAAGATTTTTGCACATTTTCCTCTTCTTGAGAAAAATCTTCTAAGTGCAGCTAGAAAGGCATCTGCAGTTAGATCGCTGACAACTTCCAGATGAATAGCCTTTGTCGCCATGCACACCAATACGGAAATATATCCTTTATAAGATTTCTGCCCACGGTTTCTAGAACATCGGATATGGCAAGGTCCGGCGAAGTCTACTCCTGTATTTGTGAATGGGTGCGACATCGTTGTTCTGTGTTTCGGCAGATTTCCCATAATGTGTTCTGCGGTATTCTGCCGATACCTAGCACAGGTAACACACTCTCTAAGCTTTTGCTTTAAACAATTCCTTAGCCCAAATATCCAAAACTTTCGTTAGATGTATTTTCGCATCAAATTAATTCCACCGTGCAATGTTTCTCTACGCGCTTTTTTATACCAGTACTCAAAAAAGAGTTAAGGGGTATATTAGATTTGTGGTAAAAGTGGATGTGTGTAACCCAGAGAAGGAAACGTTTCCGACCCCATAAAGTATATATATTCTTGATCAGCATCAATAGCCGAGTCGATATAGCCATGTCTGTTTGTCCGTCTGTCTGTCTGTCTGTCTGTCCGTCTTGTTGAGCGCGTAGATCTCAGAGACTATAAGAGCTAGGGCAACCAAGTTTGGTTTTCAGACTTATGTGATATCACACTGGTGCAAGTGTATTTCAAATTTTCGCCCCGCCCCCTTCCGCCCCCACAAAGAACGAATCATAACTATAGCCAGAATGAAGAAATTAATTTTCGGTTGCTTCCCCTGCCCCCTTCAACCAACGACAACGCAACTCATTTTCCTTCTCGCTCGCACACTCTGCCGCGTCCAGTGCGCGAGCAACCCCTAGCGGAGAAGATGTAGAATCTAAATGGAACATGAACAATCAACAATCAAGCAACCTCTAGCGGAGAATATGTAGATGTAGATAACAGATGTAGCAAAAAAATGTAAAATGTAAATTTTTTTTGGAATTCTAAAAGTCTAAAAAATCATAAGCTCAAAAATGTATATACTGACTGAGTACGGGTATAAGTAGAATCGCGTCCCCACAAGCGACTCGCACGTTCCTTCTCGTTTATAATTAAAGATGTTAAGTGACATTTATTTAAAATCAAGGGATGTCTAACCCCAAATTCTGCGCTGGAGTTTTGTAACCCACCTCCAAGTCGCAGTAACCCATCTCTATCTAAAAATGGATTCAAGCCTAATATTTTACTTTTTATTTATATTTCTTTTTATTTATTAGTTAGGCAAGTTATTTCTGAACTGAATTGTATAGCTTGTTGTTTTTTCAGTATTAATATTCTGGCGATCTTAATCTCGTTGACCGTCAAATATGGAGGAAATTCTTTATTATTTTTATACCGGTACTCAAAAAAAAGTTAAGGGGTATATTAGATTTGTGGTAAAAGTGGATGTGTGTAACACAGAGAAGGAAACGTTTCCGACCCCATAAAGTATATATATTCTTGATCAGCATCAATAGCCGAGTCGATACAGCCATGTCTGTCTGTCCGTGTGTCTGTCTGTCTCGATGAGCGCCTAGATCTCAGAGACTATAAGAGCTAGGGCAACCAAATTTGGTTTCCAAACTCATGTGATATCACGCTGCTACAAGTGTATTTCAAAATTTCGCCCCACCCCCTTCCGACCACACAAAGGACAAAAATCTGTGGCAGCCACAATTTTACAGATACGCTAAACCTAAAAACGCAGTAGCATAGAGAATGGAGAGATCGGATCATAACTAGAGCCAGAATGAAGAAATTAATTTTCAGTTGCTTCCCCTGCCCCCTCCAGCCAACGACAACGCAACTCATTTTCCTTCTCGCTCGCACACTCTGCTGCGTTCAGTGCGCGAGCAACCCCTAGCGGAGGAGATGTAGAATCTAAATGGAACATGAACAATCAACATGTTAGATGTAGAATATACATTGTACAAGTAGATGTAGAAGCAGATGTAGCAAAAAAATGAAAATTAAAAATTTTTATTTTTATTTTAAAATTCTAAAAAATTATAAGATTAAAAATGTATATACTGACTGAGTACGGGTATAAGTAGAGTAGCGTCCCCAGAAGCGACTCACACGTTCCTTCTCGTTGGTTTTAGTTTGAATAAACCTTAATATATATGTTACAACTCTTTCTAGTTTGTGCATGCATGAGTT